CTATCCATTTATATACTTATCCACACTAATGACCAGAGCAATCTAGCGAAGATCACAAAAAGCGACCGTTTTCGCTACCTAGGATCTACCTAGGATCTATCTTGCAAGAGAACGGAGAATTAGATGGAGATCTCAACCATAGAATACGAGCTGGATGGATGAAGTGTAAGAGCGCATCCGGCGTGTTGTGTGACCGTCGTAGGCCACTGAAGCTCAAGGGAAAATTTTATAGGACGGCAATAAGGCCAGCGATGTTGTATGGCACAGAATGTTGAGCGGTGAAGCATCAACACGTACACAAAATGGGTGTAGCGGAGATGAGGATGCTTCGTGGGATGTGTGGGCACACGAGAAAGGATAAGATTGGGAATGAGGATATCCGAGGTAAAGTAGGAGTAGCCGAAATTGTAGGAAAGATGAGAGAAAATCGGCTCCGGTGATTTGGACATGTGCAAAGAAGGCCGACTAACGCTCCGGTTCGAAGATGTGATTACGGGACAGAGGTTCAGGGCCGAAGGGGTAGAGGAAGACCTAGGAAAACTTTGGAAGAGACTCTAAGAAAAGACTTAGAGTACTTGGATCTAACGGAGGACATGACATAAAACCGAGCGCAATGGCGTTCTAGGATTCATATAGCCGACCCCACTTAGTGGGAAAAGGCTTTGTTGTTGTTGTTGTTGTATAGAATACGCTGGACAAGTTCGTGTGGGGACCAAATGTTAATGGTAAATATACTGTGAAGTATGCAACTTGGATTTAGAATGAGAATCAAGAAACTTCTTCAAGACAAAAGCTTCTGAATAAGATGTGGAAACTAACCATTTCTCTGAAAGTGAAGACATTAAGTTGGTTTCTAACTAAAGGCAAACTACAAACAAGGAAAAGAGTGAGCAAGTACATTAAAAATATTGACACAAAGTGCCCCCTCTGTAAAACGATAGAAGAAAATCAAGACCATCTATTTCTGTAAAACGATAGATATCTAAATAATGCTGGTCCTTCGGATGGTATTTTGGATTTGTAAGAGTCTCTTCCTAACCAAGAAAAAATGGACTTGTGTTATTTGAGCAAAGGCCTCTTAGTTTGTTGGTAAATTTGGAATGATAGAAATGGTATTGTATTTAAGAGTGAACAACCAAATCCTAATAGATCGTTTACATGTGTAATTACCATTGGCACTAGTCGACAAAGTGAAAAGATAAATAACAGGATTAAGTGGTCTTGCCCAAATGCCCCATTCGTAAAAATAAACTTCAATGGATCTGTGGTTAACAATGTAACTGCTGCTGGGTTCATTATAAGGAATGAACATGGAAGTCCTGTGACTGCTAGAGCCTTGAACCTGGGGAGAACACTATCATGAGGCTATGTGATGGGCTAAGGTCTTGTTTGGCATGTCGTATAAGAGATCGGATAGGACTAATAGTACGAACCCGGCCGTTTGGTGTCCTCTTGTATTAAATAGTCACTGGATTAATTTAAGCAGTCAGATAGGATAGTCGGGTATACACCTTCTTAATAAACCCTTCCAAAAGGAGTGGATTATTAGTCGGGTATAAACCTTTCCTCTCGCCATCGTCCCTCTCGCTGTCATTGTTCTCACCGTCATCCCTCTCATCGTCGTCGTTCTCCCGATCGTTTCCTATAGCCGTCGTTGTTCTTCCCGTCGCCTTCTCTCGCCGTTGCTACTCTCCTCGTCACTGCTCTCCTCGTTGCTACTCTCCTGGTACTGTCGATATCCGTTAAGTACCAGAAGAGTACTGAGCTCTTGATCAGGAAGTTGCCATTCCATAGGCTTGTTCGTGAAATTGCGCAGGATTTCAAAATTGATCTGCGTTTCTAGAGCCACGCGATGTTGGCACTGCAGGAGGCTGCGATTCCAGAGGCTTGTTTGTTCATTTGGTTGTCTGCAGCCTGACTATTGTTTGGGCATTTTAAAAAAAAAAAATAAATAAATTAGATTTTGCTTAATTCGGGGCCTTTTAATTTGCTTTTTATTTTGAAGTTTAGGATTTGAAAAGTATTTGGGTTTTTAGATAAATTTATATTCGATACAGTATGAATAATACAGTCATTAGTTCGATATTGCACCAAACGCCCAACTAATTTAGTCAGTACTATCCGGTGACTATTTATCCTATCCGAAAGAAATACTCAGTACAGTCCGAGCTGCCAAATGAGGCCTAAGAGAGCACATTTGACCCACATTATTGTGGAAATGGATTCTAAGCTTATCATTGATGCAATTCGACACTTCTTGGAACATTAAATCCATTCTGAAGAATATTAAATGGTGTGCTGCTTCTCTTCAGGAAGCTAGATAGTCTTATGTTTATAGGGAAGCGAACTTTGTGGCCGTTATCTTAGCTACTATTGGTCAAAGTGTAGAAATTTTGCACATTTGGGATTCTTGTATCTTGTATAAGGCTTACAATGCTTTGTTATTTGACTATAGAGGAACTGGTTATACTAGAGGTTTTTCAATTTGAATGAAATATTTATTTGGAGCAAAAAAAAAAAGTCTAAATCTCTAAATTTAGAATCACTCCGTCCATACGGATCTAGAAGATTTTGGCTATGTAAATATAATAACAAAAAAATGTTATCCTTCACTCTTACTTATAAATATTTTTCATTGTAATTGTAGAAAAATAATTTTCCTTGTATATATTCTATTCCCAATTACATAATATATAGAATATATCAGTATAATATTTAATTACACTGTTCTAAAAATTTCCGCCTAAGTGCTAGGCTGCTAATCACTGATCCGATTAATCTCTAGGTGTTTGAAATACAAGAAAGGGCGAATAGGTCGTGACTCTTACTTAGACAAAAAATAGATAACTTTCATTTTGCATTTTTATTTTTTCTATAAATTATATGAGACTTGTTTAATTCTTGGATGAACACTCATTATATACTTATTCCTCCATGTTTTCAATATGTTCTAATACTTTATAATCTATATGTCATTATATTTTGCAATTTATATATCCCAATACAAGTATGTATTTTTTTATGTATAAGTAGACATTTATTTATATCTTATATAATAAGTTTAATTTAAACTTAAAAAAAGGCCAAGGGCTTTGTCTACCCACCAACTAGCCTAGTATCTTTTAGAATCTTGATTACAATTGAATGAATGACTTGGAGTGCATAGCAAGACATGTCCTATATAACTTGCTATTCTTGACACAATTTTGGAGATTATAGAGACATTTGTGGAGACAAGATAATCCCGCTAACACGCAGCTTGTGTAGCGATTTGGTGAGGATTGTACATTACAATTTTTCATTTTTGATGTAATCTAAAGAGATTATGGAGAGATTTGTGCAGACGAGAGAATTTTGGTAACAGTAATTAATACACGGTCAATAGCCTTAGGAGTGGTTTGGGAGTGAGGTGCTTAAAAAAAAGCACCTATGAAAAAAAGCTATGAGGGTTTTAGGTGTTTGGTAAACTGAAAAAAAAAAGGCTTATTTTGGAAGCTGCTGTGAGAATAAGCTGAAATCAAAGGAAAAAGCTGAAGCTGCTATTTGTAGCTTTGAAAAACTGGCTTTTTTTCAAAGCACACGGAGCTACAATGCTCCTTTAATGAAAAGACCCACTATCAGACTGCTTTTTTTTTCCAAAAGCACTTGTACAAAAAAGTTTACCAAACACTCTGCTGATTTATTTCACAGCCGCTTATTTTCACAGCACAGCCGCTTATTCTCCCAGCAGCTTTTTTTCAAAGCACAGCAATACCAAACCAGCCCTTAATGAGGTGTCACGCACCACATGTTCAAACTCGATAACTTATGAAACACAAACATACGATAAACGTGTGGCACTACGTGTTAACTTCTCAAACACTATAATAGACATAATGTTGAGTCTCAGCGGACCCGAGGTTTCAAATGTGGGCATAAATAGTAAATACCCTCTTATTATAGAAACAAGGACATCTGCAAACAATTGTAATTTAAAAGTTCGTTGAGATTTGTCTGTTATTTATACAACAACAACAAAGTCTTTTCTCACTAAGTGGGGTCGGCTATATGAATCCTAGAACGCTATTGCGCTCGGTTTTGTGTCATGTCCTCCGTCAAATCCAAGTACTCCAAGTCTTTTCTTAGGGTTGTCTGTTATTTATGTGGAAACAAAAAATAGAATATATTTTATTCACATAATTAAAATTACTGGGAATGTGACATCTCACATTGCTTAAGGAAGTGGATCATGTAAGTCTTATATATATATATATATATTCTTATCTCTTCCTAACAAAAGGTAATTTTTTTTTTTTTACAGCTCATTAGTTTCGGGTTTCATCGGAACTTCGAAATTAAGCGAGTTCATGAGAGATCAATCCCAAGATGGGTGACTTATTGGGAAATTCTCATGTGAATTCTCAGAAACAAAACCAACCATGAGGGCGTGGTCGGACCCAAAGTAAACAATATCATGCTACGGAAAAGTCGATGTCAGAATTAAAAGTTTCATAATTTTTTTTTTTTTTGTTTTGTTTTGTTTTTGCAGCCAAATCATGAAATGTAAGATAAAAGCTTCCCTTGTACCCCAAAACAGAATAAACAGAGTGACGTGGTGAAAGAATCCGAGAGCTCACTAAGGGCTGGTTTGGTATTGCTGTGCTTTGAAAAAAAACTGCTGTGAGAATAAGCGGCTGTGCTGTGAGAATAAGCGGCTGTGAAATAAAGCCAGTAGAGTGTTTGGTAAACTTTTTTGTGAAAGTGCTTTTGGAAAAAAAAGTAGGATGATAGTGTGTCTTTTCATTAAAGGAGCATTGTAGCTCCGTGTGCTTTGAAAAAACTGGCTTTTTTTCAAAGCAGCAAATAGCAGCTTTAGCTTTTCCTTTGATTTTCAGCTTATTCTCACAGCAGCTTCCAAAATAAGCCCTTTTTTTTCAGTTTACCAAACACAAAAATGACCCTCAGTTTTTTTTCACAGTAGCTTTTTTTAAAATCACCTCAATCCCAAACGGGGCCTAAGTACTCTGTGCGCCTCGTCGTATCTGATATAAATTCCGAGAGTAACAGCGTACTTCCCTCCGATCTCTCCCTCTCTCTCCGGTCTAGGGTTTTCTGATTCAGCTATACAAACTCTCTCATTGAATTCAAATTCTCCATCTTCCATTGTTCTGGTATTCGATTGTGTTCTGATTACTCACCAAATTCGATATGTAAGTGTGTGTTTATGTAGCTTACAATTGGGAATTTTGATTTGGATTTTGGGAATAAATTTGCTGCGTCAGGGTTTTGATCAGAGGGAATTTGGAAGGGACATAGTGGAATTTGGGTTTTCTGTGGTTGTGGTAGATTGTTTGGTGCTCGAGAATTTGCTCAGCTATGGCTTCATACAGGCCATTTCCTCCCCAATCGTCATTTGCGCCAGCACCGAATCAAAACCCTCTACCGCCAGCACCACCGCCACCGCAACAGCGAGGCAGTCAGTATAACCAGAATTGGGGGTATAATGCTAGTAGTGGTGGTTCTAGTGGCGGCGATGGTGCTGTGCCGGCGGCTCCTTCTTCGTATCCGCCAAATTACAATTACCAACATAGTAGTTATGGCCCTCCAAGAACTCAACACCCTCATCCACCACCACAATACAACTACCAACCACCGCCTCCGCCACCACCCGAGCCTTCATACCCACAGCCACCGCCCCCTCAAGCTCCTCAAGCAGCACAAAATAAAATGCCCTTACAGCCTCCACAAGCCCCTATATATTACCAGAATTCTCAGTATTCACAGTATAGTCACCAGCCAATCCAGCCTTCGCAGCAGCCACCGCCTCCTCCCCCACCACCTTTGTCCCCCAATTCCTCGGTGCCACCACCACCTCCTCCCCCCGGTTCGCCTCCACCACCGCCTCCTCAAAGTAAGGACAGCGGGGTAGATAGGAGATCCCATGACAAAGGGGCTTCTAGGGAGGCATCAGTGTCCAGAAGGCGTGAACATGGGCATTTGAATCATGGGGTTCCTCCAAAACAGCAGAAGCCCCCAGTTCCTTCAGTGCCAGTGAAGAAAGCAAATGGGCCGCCAGGGAGAGTGGAAACAGAGGAAGAGAGGAGATTAAGGAAGAAGAGGGAGTTTGAAAAGCAAAGGCAAGAAGAGAAGCATAAGCAGCAGCTGAAGGATTCCCAAAACTCAGTTTTGCAGAAGACGCAAATGTTGTCTTCTGGCAAGGGACATGGATCCATTGTGGGGTCGCGAATGGGTGAAAGGAGAGCTACTCCATTCTTGAGTGGTGAGAGGACTGAAAATAGGCTAAAGAAGCCAACAACATTCGTATGCAAGTTGAAGTGAGTATGTTAACAATGACTTACCTTTGTTTGAAGATCACAAATTTGCTTTATTCTAATTGAACTCAATCTTTTCCTGTTTTTTTTGGGAACTGAATTCAAACCTTGATATATCAATATGATTTGATGATGTGTTGTTAACTCATTTCCTAACAGTTTAAGTTTAGTACTTGTTGATTCATTATGAAAGTGGAACAAAATGATCTTTTAGCAATATAACATGATTTAAAGTCGTCTTAAACTACTGACGGTATGCTGCAATGAATCTCATATATCCTAGATGTGGCTGAACAACGTTCCTTTATTCTACACCAAAAAAAAAAAAGAACAAATTATTTTTAGTTAACTGTCCGTTCACCTCTTTGTTTACTCCTATGATGAGTCTTATTAAATTTTATTCTCTTTGAAGATTCCGGAATGAACTTCCAGATCCAAGTGCACAGCCAAAGCTTATGTCTTTGAAGAAAGAGAACGATCAGTAAGCCATCTCTTCTGTTTAAAAATTTATGCATTTAGGCTTGCCTGTGTTACAATGTGCCTTCGCCCATGAGCGGTAGGTCTCGGGTTCGAGACTTGGGAGCAGCCTCTCCATAAATGGGGGTAAGGTTAGCCGACATTCACCTCTCCCAGACCTTGCGTAAAGCGGGAGCCTTGTGCACTGGGTACGACCTTTTAGGCTTGCCTGTGTTACAATGTGTGTTCGTTGGTGCATAGACCTTTTGTAAAATCCAGAAAAGATTGGTGTGGTGGTGGACATTAATTTTCCTGGTTCAGGGCTTAGTTTAATCTTTTGGGGAAAATAATAGTCCAGGGTTGGTTCATTTTTGTCATGTTTTAGTACCCATACTAGTGGGATTCTGGGACTCGGTATATACATGTTATTTAGTTATTGTTGAAGCTTGCACTATGGGAACCAATTCTGATGGTTTAAATAATGACTTTATGACATATGATCAGCTGTTTAATAGTTATCCCTATTCCCTAGTTATCATGCTATTGAATTTCATTATCAAATTCAATAATTATCTTGTGGTAACTTTTGCAATCTTCCCTCCCGCCCCAGGTATACAAAATACACAATAACGTCGTTGGAGAAAACATACAAGCCCAAGCTTTTTGTTGAGCCAGATCTTGGGATTCCTCTTGACCTACTCGACCTCAGTGTATATAAGTATTATACTCAGCCCTAAACTTTTTAAGGCATCAATAGTGTCATATTGCATGACAATTCTGTAACATATGTTTTTTTATTGGTTCTGGTTCAATCAGTCCTCCTCCTCCAAGTGTTAGACTACCACTCGCTTTGGAAGATGAGGAATTATTGCGGGATGATGTTGCAGTGACCCCTGTGAAAAAGGATGGCATCAGGAGAAAAGAGCGGCCTACTGATAAAGGAGTTGCATGGCTGGTTAAAACCCAGTATATATCTCCTCTTAGCATGGAGTCTGCAAGACAGGTAGTTGATCAGTGCTCCATTTTAGATGAGAAATCCTTCTTGAAATTATTGGTAAGCTTTGTTATAACTATGTGCATTGCCATCTACAGTCTTTAACTGAAAAACAAGCAAAAGAACTGCGGGAAATGAAGGGCCGCAACATTTTGGAAAACCTCAATGACAGGTTGCTCTGTGCCTACCTACCCTTGTGATTGTTAAACTAATGTTCATTATTTATTAACTAATTATGATGAATCATTTTTAGGGAAAGACAAATCAAGGAAATTGAGGCATCATTTGAGGCCTGCAAGTCACGCCCTGTTCATGCAACCAACAAGAATTTGTACGCTGAAGAAGTTCTACCTCTGTTGCCTGATTTTGACCGGTATGGAATATTTAATTTTCTGTTCAAATTACACGATCATATTTTACTTTGGCTACCATATGAAACCTATTAGATGCTGTTCTTTATAAGGAAAGTTATTAGACGTAATGGCAATGGATTAGGGTTAAGTCAAGCTGTGCTGTTTATTGACAGCTTGTTATGTCAGACTCCAGACATTTGAAATCAAAAGCATATATATTCATAAATGGGAATGCATACATGCAGATTCTTGATATTATTTCAATGATGACGAATCTGAGAATGAACAATTGGGCTGGTGGCTGATTAATTGAAAATCTAAAGCATTTACAACAACAACAACAAAGCCTTTTCCCACTAAGTGGGGTCGGCTATGTGAATCCTAGAACGCCATTGCGCTTTCGTTCTGGATTCATTTTCATAAGGATTCGACGTAAACTAGGAGTGCCGGCTGTCGACTACCTGACGCCATTGCGCTTTCGTTCTGGATTCATTTTCATAAGGATTCGACGTAAACTAGGAGTGCCGGCTGTCGACTACCTGACGCCATTGCGCTTTCATTCTGGATTCATTTTCATAAGCATTTACTTAAATAAAATCTTATTGCATGCTAGAGTATTCATATTAACTTGGGGCTGTTTATTGAGGATTCTTTTGTGACAGGTACGACGACCAATTTGTCCTTGCAGCATTTGATGGTGCTCCTACTGCTGATTCAGAAATTTACAGCAAGTTGGACCAGTCTGGTCATGATGCTTATGAATCAAGAGTGAGTTCGGGTTATGATGCATGCAACCAGTTTTTTGTCGTATATTTAAATGCTCAAACCTTCCATTTTCAGTTTCTTGGACATTGCAGTCTGTTACACATTGTTTACAAGTGGACGCCCCAAAATTAGTGAAATAGAACAGAATCCAAAAAACTCGAAGAAAACCAACATAATTGTATGAATTGGTTTGGTTAAACCTCTGACAGACAAACAAGAAAAACTAATATAACCAGTACCTACTTCAGCCCCACTGATAATTACCCAGGTTGGCTTTCCTTACCATATTTGAAACTGTATTCCTTCACTTCCTGTTAGTGTCTTAGGTGGTTGTTTATTCGTTTTGGCTGGGAAATAATTAATAATTGAGTGTAATATTCTGCCATTCCACAACATAATGTCCTAGCTTTAGATGAATTGACCTGCAGTGTGTTTTGGATGGTTGCAATATACGAATCAAGTATTCATTTGGGTTGGGTATATAATTTTAAGAATTGCCTTTGTAGGAGGTAATCCTGTCAGCTCACAACACGATGACCCCTTAGTTTACATGAATTTGAACCCTTATTTTCTGTTCATGTCAGTCTCCAATTGGATGTATATGTAGGTTGAGCGGCTCTATTACCCTTCACTTCTAGTTCAGCTGAATCCACCTCCCATATGGATTGGCAAAAAAGAAATGCCTATCATACTGCTTCTTTCCTTCCACTATCTGTGTATCCTCGTTACTTTTTTCATTCGCCATCAGAAACCCTGTTTTTTGGAAGATAAGTGTTGTGTTACAGTAAATAAATATTATACAGAAGTTAGAATTTTCCATGGATTTTGGTTATTTTGAATGTTTTTATATTTCTTCATTGTTTTACTTTGCATATTTTCATATTTCTTCAGTATCCTATAATTGGCTAGTGATGTGTTGTGATCTAATCCATTACAGGCCATTATGAAAAGTTACAAAGTAACAGGTGTAGATCCAGCGAATCCTGAGAAATTTTTGGCTTACATGGTCCCTTCACCTAATGAGGTAAGCATGCTTGTTTTGAGAACATTAGCATTAACAGTTCGTAGTCTGCTCTCATGGCTTATGTATTATGTACTATTTCAATGGTGGCAGCTATCAAAAGATCCCTACGATGAATCTGAAGATGTTTCGTATTCTTGGGTTCGTGAGTATCATTACGATGTATGTATGCTGACAGTTTTAAGAAGTCAATAAGTTACCTTTCTTATTCCTTGAGAATATCAAGCCATTCATGTTTCAACAGGTAAGAGGTGATGATGTGCATGATCCCACTACGTACCTAGTTTCATTTGATGATGATGAAGCACGCTATGCGGTATCCCCTCGAATCGAGAATTTAATCTTTAATTATACGTGCACGTATTTTCTTGATCTTTGTTTTTGGAGAAGAACTCTTCAAAGGTTATCGTTGTTATAAATTTTCCATTACAATGCAGCCCCTTCCCACAAAGCTTGTTTTAAGAAAAAAGAGGTCCAAAGAGGGAAAAACCAGTGATGAGGTTGAGCATTTTCCCGCACCTGCGAGAGTGACCGTTAGGCGGAGATCAACTGTTGCTTCAATCGAACTAAAGGATGCAGGGGTATGAGAACCTATTTGTTGAAATATAAATTTCTTTGGGGTGTATGGGGTTTTAGTCATCGAATGATTGTAATTCCATGACTTGCTGCTGTTTTCAGGATTATTCTAGGGGATCTATATCAAAATTGAAAACAAGAGGCTATGATGTTGAAGATACCCTTGAAAGACCACAAAAGATTGCACGGCACCAAGATATGGACGAATATAGTGGTGGCGACGATGATTTATCGGATTAATTTCTCCGTTGATGTAAATGTCGCTGGCTGTCGTGAAGGCTAGCCACTTATTTGGGATCTGCCCATATTGTAATCAGATGTCGATGCAAAGGCGAGCTCAAACTCATTTGACCGCTTGTTTTTGGGACGTCCATTCAAGCTTCAAGTCGACATGTATCGTTAGCCAGAACACATTTTTCCTTAGATACCATGAAATGGTAAGACGAAAAAGAAACCTTGTAAAGAAGTTAGATGTGTTTTAGAACGTTTCGATTCGAGTATAGTCCTCTCGAGTTTATCCAGAAACGAATAGGTTCTCCCGGCAGTTCTAACTCATGACTATTTTACTTGATTAGGCTGTGTGGTATTACAGTTAATATTGTTCAGATTTTCCTGCGAAATTCAGCAATAAATTGTGTGCCTGCTTGTTCTATTGAATATTGATTTTGTTATGAATATATTACATTCTTTACTTCAAGTCATTTACTCAGTTTATAGGATATATTGCATTTTAAGCGGCTTAGATTCACTCGTTAAATTATTTTGAATTTTGGTACGTGCGTCTAGTTGTCTATGCAACCCGACATTGACGGCAATCTTCAGCACTGATGATGAGAAATTGCGGTAACAGTCCAACTAAGGGTTGGTTTGGAAATGCTTTTAAAATGACTGAAAGTGATTTTCGTGAAATTGTTTGTAAGTTTCAAAAGCACTTTTTAAGTGCTTTTTGAAAACAGCACAACATATGCGCTTTTTACAAAAAACACTTAACAGTAATTTTCCAAGATCCACTTGGACTAAGGAATGGTGTTAGAAACATTTTCATCAAAAACGTTTTCAGTCATTTTAAAAACACATCCAAACAGATCATAAATGAAGGTGGTTACAAATATTTTTTTGGTGAATTTTTGGTGTCCGGAGGCCGGCAGCAGGTCCCAATTCATCGTGTCCGCATACTAGGTTTTGGGACTAGAGTGCGATGCATCCATGCAAAACTGTCGAGAAGGGCAAAATCGGAACTCTAGAAAGACATCAAGAGCTCGTCGAAGCTAAAACACCAATGGAAGTGAACTGAGGGATTTGTCTGTGGCTCCCAAATTACGGTACATATTGAACAACGTATAACATTCTACAGAAAACTAAGTTGCCTCTTTGCGTAATCGCCTGGCTACCAACAGAACTACGTTGTGTATTCGAATATTTACAACCACTCAAACACTCAACAAGTAGAAGCTGTTTTACGTACAACGATGAGCGATCCCCACATGGTAAAATGTTAGAATCATTGCACGATTTGATTTGTGGAGGTAGCCTTGGAAAAGTCGATGACCCTGTACCCATCTTAATATTCATGAAGACTTGTTTTATGCAATTGACGCCCTGTTCATCGTGAATGGAGTCCAAGGGAAGTGAGCGAATAAAACTAAAGGAGTAACTATTCTGTTTAGGCTACAACAGTAATTAATTCAAGACTCACCATGCCCGTCGACACCTGACAGCTTCTTGACGAACAGCCCTCTTTGGATCATTAAGAGCTTTGGATATTGCTTGTAGTACCTGAATAAAGAGTACATATAAGAAAAACGCACACACGCGCCCAAACTATGAACAAAATGGTAATTTTCATCATGTCAGACAGATCTGATAAGTTGGCAGAAATTTGGCATCCACCAGAGAATGATCTGGTCGCCAATAGATTCTAATGATTAAAAACCAACCAACCTGTGTTCTCATGGGAAAGATTCTTGCATAGGGCAGCTCAGATGTTGCAACAAGACATTGAATTGCAGTCTCTCGGACAAGCTTAACAATTAAAAGAAATATACATCAGCCAAAGCATATAAACATTGCTTCTAGCCTGAAATAAACTCTTAAGCGGAAAGTGGGGTGGCAAACGGAATCTTAAACCCATGGCAGTTAATAATTAGATGCCTGAAATAAATACTGAAACAGAAAAGGTGAGGCCGGACATTAGAGCATAAGCGAGCAACAAAAGATATGTTACCATCATATGCGGGTAGCCAATGAGTCTGGTGAGACAATTAATTAAAATATGTGCATTCTCTACGACAGCTACTTTTCCTGCATGAAGGAAATGAACACCAGAATCAGGTGAAGAGCTAGGTAAACAGAGGCAAGCGGTAAGCAGTCATATCAAGAAAGAAATATGTAAGCAACATATTTAACATGGAACTACAGGAGACATAGATAAACAAATGACAAATGTACACACACACAAACGCCTGCATTGACGTTGGCATTACCGTTTTTATCTGTCAATATTCCAGAAAGAACTAGCAAAAGACTGTATAGCTTGTCTTTATCCAGAATATCCTCACTTAACACGGACAACCCATCCAACATTATCGGCATGAGCTGCAAAATTTGTGAGGTAATGTCACAATTCCAAGATATAAAATTCCTTTTTAAGTGTAATTAGTTTATAATTTCTACTTTAGTTACCTTCTCTGCTTCACTCAAGATAGCAATTAAAGGGGCATTAGATATAAGATGTGCAGATGCCCGAACCAGCATAGATCTGAAAAAAGGGAAGTAATTTGGGCATAATTAATAAATGAATGCCATTAATCAGGCCTTCAAGCTCTAGCTTTAGGCCATGTGCAATAAGTAATATAGGATAACACTCTTTGTATATGTACCTGGATAATGATGAATCAGAATTTATTATCATAGACTGCAAAATAGGCATCACCGAAGAGAAAAACCGCTGTTTGTAGAGTGGCCGTGTTATGGCATGAAATTTTCGGTTCAAACAAACTTCAGAATCACTCATAAGAATGTGAAATGCATCTGCAGCAGTTCTCATCACAGAATGCTGCTCATAACTGTTTTCTAGACCTTGTTGTAACTCCATGGCACGTTTTCTGCCTTCTGCCAGTAAGCACTCCAAAAAAATTTTGGTTACATCTTTTACTTTTTCATGACCAAGTAGAAGCAAACCTTTTCCTATCCATGCTAATCCTACCAGGGCACGGACTTGAAGCTGCTTATTGCTCAAAAAACCAAGGCATAGATCAGTAAGACTCACTTTTATGCCATTACTTGTTCCAGATGTCTTTAAAACTCCATTTTCATTGAAACTCCATATATTTGTTCCGAAAATCATATCAATCGCTTCTTCCAGGGTACAGTCCTTTGAATTCTCCGTGTCCTTGGACTTTGTACCCAATTTATTGATCACAGAACCTAACGCCTGAGCTACTGGAACACAACCTTTAAGAAGGGTTGTCATAAACAAATGCAATAGCCCTTTCAGATTTGCAATCTGTGTTTTTGGATGCACCGCTATGATTATTGATGCAAATAGTGAAACAATCCATTCATCTCTATGAGAGAATGTGTCTCTCTGTTCAGAAACGTGCAATTCTTGAAGTTGGATTGAAGAGGTTGCATCCATGGATTCCTTAAATGGAATGGATATGTTTGATGAAAGAACACTGTAAGCCTTGTCAACCATAATCTTCTGGCTTTCATCTGAACAGCTCCCAACAGCAAGCTTCATTGCCATCATGGCTGCATCAAGAAGCTCCTGAAATGAAATTAAAAAAAATTATTGGATTTCTTAGTATAGCATTATAATCTATCTTTTTCAGCAATTACTGACTTCCAGATTAGCAGTGTCAGAAGGAGCTGAAAGAAACTTCTAGCATATTTATTAAACATGGTAATAAGAAGTGATATTTTATAAAAGGAACTCTACTCACTTCTTCCTGGACTTGAATGCTAAAATCTTTACAACTTTCAGTGGCATTCCAAATGTTAATGACAAACCGCAACAGAACTTCCTCAAGACCTCCAGTTTCCTTGATCCTACACCATTTCAACATAAAGCTTTGTATCAACAACAGAAAAAGCACAGAAAAGTAAAAAAATAACAATAAAGAACGAGAAACACATTACATTGAGAGCCCAAACACTTTAGGAATTATACCTCACAAATGCAACACAAGTTCCTTCTCCTATGTGCGAAATTTGAACTTATTTATCACTTTTAAGTGTTGTAAAAGAGAAACACAGGTATGAGACGGAGAAGTGAGGTAGAGTTTTGCTTGTGGTGAAAAGAGGGTCAATACAGTTTTATAGATTGCCAATTATGACTCTAAGCGTGTTACAAACGAAAAATGAAATTTATCCATGCAGGTCTAAGTAGTCACCACGAATAACTAATAGCAAAAGTATGATGGGTCAATATTGTCAGAAGCAATTAAAAGATACTCTTTAGGAAAGTACTTTCCATATGCCTGGAACATGATCCTACTATAGAATTTGCTAGACACATATTGCCTGAAGCAAACACAAAAGATGCACAACACAATTCACTTGTTGTCAGTACTCCAATGACTGAGGAAGCCAAGATTTTCCAGGGGAAATCAAACAAAACCTTGACATAAACAACTGTTAGCAACGTTATTGACAAGCTACATGATATTTGACTATGGAACGTGATTTTAATAGGATAGAGGGGGCTTCTCTTTTTTACTAGTTTCATCATTCATTATCGTCTCCACAATTCTTAAGCAGTCACAAATGTTCCCCAAAAATGTTCATGATCGCTCCTTTGTATACAAAAAGAAAATGAGCAAATCACTCTTCATATATCTAGAGTGAAATCTATGAATTAGCATGGCACCGAAAAACAAGGTTACCAAATTTGTGAAATTGCTAGGTTTTGAACTAATGGTTGTTGAACTAACAGCGCAACGGGGAAAACTGTTGAAAAACCAAAGAAAAAATTGTCTTAATTTACAGATTGATCATTCGGGTAGAAGAAAAACATACCATGGAAGAATCTTATTACAGTAGCATTCCAAAAGTTGAATTGTCCCTTCAGCCAAGTTCAATTTTCCATGGACCTAAGCAACAAAATGCAAAGAAAGGATCCATTAAATAAGGAGGAGAATTTTTTTTTTAACATATAGCTTGAAGCAAGGATTGCTCGCCCAAGAACAAATGGAACAAGTAAAATAAACAAAATGAAATGCCCATATTGCTTATATTGCATCCACAAATGTAGTATGCTAATCATGGATGAAGCAAACTGGCTACCCCATTAACTTCTATGAACTTTATAAAGGAAATGTTTAAATATGACAAGTACAGAATTATAGGTGGAACATACATAATCAGATAACTTGCCAACTATGGCCTCTTCAAGCCCTTGTACAATTCTTAGCATATGATTTAGCCCACTTGCACCAATCTCAGAGACTGTCTCCAGTTTTAGTGGAAAAGGCACATTGAAATCATCATGAGACACCAATGAAAGTGTCTTTTCAACAACAAGGTCTATATAGCTTAGTGCCTTCTCGGACTCGTGATATGCATCCACAAATGAGCCAATGTGCACTAAAGCCTTCAATGCTAGCTTCCATAGCAATGTCTTGTTGAAATCCACTAAGATGATTGACATGAGTTCCGTCAGAATATTCTCAAATATAATTTTTGATATTG